GACATTTGTGTTACTGTGGAATGATGTTCATTTTAATCAGACAGTGCTAATTTGCAAGAGCTGCTTTCTGCTTGCAGGAATTTCAAAATTGGCATGGAAGGTCTTGTATATACTTCTTGCCAGTGGCTGTAGTGGGAAAGGCTTGGCATTTTCTTCCTTCCTTCTAGGGAGTGCAGGGACACATGTCAATCTTACTTGGAAGTAATCAGTTTGTTCCAGCTTGCAAATGATGAGAGTATTTGATAAAGCCTCTTTATGACGGGCCAGGAGCACTTAGCAGGTTGCTGTCTTGGAAACCCTTATGACAAAGTGAGTTTATAGCTGCACTTAATTGATTTTTGACATCGTAGTACTGTGCCGCAAGCCTTTGGCAGCTTTACTAAGCTAAGCCTTTGCCTTTCAGGTTCACGTACTTTCCACCCCTGCAGTGTTTTCTATGAAGATTGCTCATGACATGTGTGTTCACTTTTGCTGAAAGGCAAGTTAGGTGCTGAGGCTGCAGAACACTGAGAGTTGTAAAAATTTTGAGCAATAAGGTCATGGCATACTTGTCCACTTTTTAAATTTCATGTGCGTTTACTAACTCTAGTGTACACTGTGATATGCACAGATCAGACACTCGCCCATCCTTTATTTCCCCCTAAATGATGTGTCTGAGACCAGAAATATTCATTCTGAGCAACAGAACAGGCACCAGGACCTGGAGCCATCCTTTGCCTCCTAGTTTGAGCTGCTACTCCAAGAGCTGTGTTTTGAGTGTGAGTGTGTGATGCACAAAAAGAGAGTCTCCCTCTTGTTCTTGTATATGCATATGGTTGCTGTGAATGAAAGATGTCCGCTTCTTTGGAAACTCAGCTAAGCCCAGTCTTCCTCATTTTATGGTAAACTCCAGGGGTTTGTGTTTCTTTTTTTTCTGTAGCCCACAACATTTATGAAAGGCTCTGCAGCTTTGATTATGTCATGGAATGGATGTCTTCTAACAGAAAATTGAGTAGGTACTGCCATTTCCTAAGAATTGCAAATTTAAGGTTGATTTCTACTGCTGTGGTAGTCTTAAACATTGCTTTTTTGTTCCTATATGCTCATGTTTTGCTTGTGGATTTCTCATTTCTCATGGGAAATGGGATGCTGGACAACATAGGACTTCTTTGCTTCTTTTCTATAGCTCTTCATTTTCCCTGTGTTTTAATCTTTATTCCCAACCTTCAGTTAGCAAAAATCTAAATTGTGCAATGAAACGAAGCCATGAAAATGTGCATAAATTACCCCATGGCAGAATTGTATGTCTCCTCAGCTCCCCACTTTGCAGTGTTTGAAACTCCCAGCATTTTAGGCACATTTTGCAACAGGGAATTTCAGACCATTTTAAACTTGTCTTTTTATTATTTTGATAAAACCAATTTGCATATGTAGGGTCTTGGCCCTTTACAAAGGAGGCAGTATTTGGGAAGTAAATGACATTCCATGCATTGCTATAGATATTTTTAGACATATATTGCATCTGTAAACATACCTGAGTTAAACAAAGATGTACAAATAGGAGGGTTGTGGCTAGGGAACAAGACAAGCTGACTGGATGCATAGGCATGCTGTAAACAGGCAAGCTAGCTTGCAGGTAACTGTGTCACATCTGTCACAGCCAAAGTGCTGTTTCCACATGAATTAGGTTTCTGTTCTGTGAGACTCTAGCCCAAGGGCAGCCAACATGGCACTTTCCAGATATAGTTGAACAACATCTACCATCATCACCAGCAGATAGCATGTTCAGTAGCCAGGTATGCTAGGAGTTGGAGTCCAGCATTGAGGGCATCATGCTGGCTATCCCTGATCTGGGACTGGCAAAGTCCAACTGGCCTCCAGTGGGGTGCATACAGAGTGTACTTCAAATGATGAGGGACTACAACTCCCATCATCCCTGGTCAACCTGGCTAATGGTAAAGGATAATGGGAGTTGTAGTTCAGCAGCCACCACATTGGCTGCCTCACTGCTCTAGCCCATTTAGACTTAAGATGGAGGCAGCTTTTATAGTATCAAATTCCTCTTCTTTTGGCTACTTTAGAGTTGCGGTGAGTTATCCTGTCTTTTGATTTTTCAACCAGCAGGCCTCTGTAGTTCTATCTGCTATTTCTGCTTCCCAGCAAAAATCATTCCACACAAAAGGGTTGCCTCTCAGAGGCAGAAGCCTGTGGCTGCTATGTGGAAGTTGTACATGCACTATTTTGTGTGACTGGATAATTTAACAACTGAGCACAAAAGCACTGGGAGTATACCTACTGCGAGACCAGACTAAATGGTAAGGAGCTGAGCCATGGCTATAGGGGCAAGCAACCTTGTTGTTTTGCCTTGGTAATGGACAGGATGAGAGCAAACAAACTGAAGCTTAATCCACCTAAGACTGAAGTACTGTTAGTGGGTGATTCCCTAGACCGGATGGATGGGGATGCACTCCCTCTGAAGGAGCAGATACATAGCTTGGGGGTACTTCAGGGTCCTTTGCTGTCGCTTGAGGCTCAGGTGGCCTGAGCAACCCAGAATGCCTTCCATCAGCTTGGGCTGATGGCCCTACCCCTATGCCCCTATCTGGGCAGGGATAGCCTAACTTCTGTCACCTATGCTCTGATAACCTATAGGTTAGTTTATTGCAACGCATTATATGTAGGGCTGCCTCTGAAGATGGTTCGGAAACTTTAGCTGGTGCAGAATTTGGCAGCCAGGTTGCTCACTGGGGCAAAACAGGTTGAGCATATTACATCAATCCTGGCCTGACGGCACTGGCTGCCAATTAGTTTCCAGGCCCAATTCTAAGTGCTGGTTTTGACCTATAAAGCCCTAAATGGCTGAAGACTGCAATACCTCAAGGACTGCCCCTCCCCACACGAACCTACCCAAACAATGTGATCATAATCTGAGGCCTTTGTGTGCCTCCACAAGAGGTCAATAAGGGTGTCAACATAAGAACAGGCGTTTTCTGTGGTGGCTCCCTGTTTGTGAAATGCTCTCCCCAGGGAAGGCCACCTGGAACCTAGGTGCCAGGTGAAAACATTTCTCTTCAACCAGGCATTCAAGTGATTAGCATTCTGTAGCCTTTTAAATGTATTTGTGGGAGGGGAATTAATGGTTTGCTTTTGTTTACGTTTTATTATGCAGTTTGTATTCTTATTTTTTATTTTTCTATTGTGAACTGCCCTGGGATTTTTGGATGAAGGGCGGGATACAAAACTAATTAATAATATCAGTAATAAGAATTGTGCCACTGGGTACATTTTTTGAGGAAGTGCTGCGGGTACCAGTCACAAAATGGCTGCTGTAGGAATGTGGCATAACAGAAAATGACTACCACATGACTAAGAGAACAGACAAGGAGGACCACAAATGGTACAGATAGCCCAGCCCCCTCCAATCATTAGGGGGAGGAGGACACCAAAAGCGTGTACAATCCGGTATCTAATGAAATAGGGTTGAACAAGAAGCTCAAACAGTCTCTTGCACATTATGGATTTTTGAGATGTTTGCTGAGACCTTTTTTGAGCACCATATGAACTAGTTGATGCACTGTCACCTGTGGGTTCTGTGTTGGCGACCGTTGTTCTCATCACATTTTTGTGGAGCTAGCATCTTAATTGCATCAGAAAAAAGGCATTATGTTTATGGAGGCTTCGAGAATACCAAGGCATTCCTGTTGTGGAAGAATTCTTACTGAGGAGTCAGTTGTATGAATATTGTTAGTGCTGATGCAGAAAAAGACAAGCTCATCTATAAGAATCTTATCACTTCCTACGTGGAGTTGATTTAGAGGATGATTCGAGTCTAGCCAACATCTTTCTATATAAAGGCAGAATTAGACTGTCAGAGCTCCTTGGCCAACACATACTTGACAGGAAGCCAATGGTTATTGAGCTAAGAAAAGGAGTTGTTGGCATTCCTTCTATCTTTATGGCAGTCTTCAAGGAATCAGTGGGATAAGTCCTTTCTACTCTTTCCCTGAGGGCTGATAATCATAGGCACACAATGTACATCATTTGATGGCTTCTACCTAGCTGTGCAAACTGCCTCCATTGGAAAGTATTGTTAGCGGCTCTGTGGAAGGCTTTCCATGTGCGATGTCAGTTTCCCAGATGCATGTTGTCAAATGTTTGCTAAGTGATAAACATCCATATATACAAGCACCCTATTAGCTGCTAACTGGGTGGTGGTAATGGGAGGGCTACAGCTAGGAGATGAGGAAGGGAAAAATCTTGCAGTATCTCAGTACCATTCAGATTGGGCAAGGGGAATAAATAAAGCAGGGTTTCCCCTTTCTCATATGCAGTCTGCAAGGAAAAAGAGCAGGTGGTCCAACAGCTTAGCTTCTTCCTGTCTCTTTTGCTCAGTTAGAAAGAGATGCTGCCACAAGAGTCAACACCGGAATCCTTTCTCTCTTCTCTCGGTTATTGCCAAATCTTGTCAGGAGCATCCAGGAAAAGCTTGATCAGCCACCTTCTGATGCTACTTTGAAGGTGGCCAGCAGACTGGACCTACTTCTGGGCCCAGATCAGGAGAGTTGCCCTTGAAGACAGGTGGAAAAACAAAGCCCTTTGGAAAGACTTGATGGTTGGCTGACGTTATTGAAAGAAATTCACTCTTCCTTTTGAATATCGTTAAGTCTGCTTTGGGGTAGGTCCCATTCGTGGCTGCAGTAGCCTATCCTGCCCTTTTTGCACTACGGAGGTAGATTTTAAAACTGAACCATACGAGTGGACAGATATAGTTGGAGGGTCTGGGAACTGTGCAAATCACAATAGTTTAAATTCTTTCTTTAAAAAAATAGCAGCAAAATGATACAAAACTGTTGGGTTTTCGTTTTGAAAAAATAATAATAATATATATATAGTAGTGCAAAATAACTTTTCAGTCCAGTGCTGTGTAGGAACAAGAGAGGCAGGCAGATGGAGTGGGGTATGGCATCCATTCTTAAGACAACTCTTGTCCCCTTCCCTCCCCCTCCCCCCACATTCTCCAACCTAAATGGGGCAGAGAGGGAAGAGCTGTATTTGGAGACACAGTTGCTTTAGTCACTCTCTGTTGACAACTCCCTGATTCGGATATGGACAAATAGGGAGGCTGGTGGGATCCCCGTCCCATCCTTGGAAAGAAGGTGGATGTGGCGGTATCCTGCATGGGAGACAAGACACAAAAAAAAAGAGCCACGCACAGTGTTTGAAGCTGCCTTGTGTTGAGTTAGGCCAAGGGTAACCAACCATGTTGTTGGGCTCCAGCTGCCATCAGCCCCAGCCAGCATGGCCAGTGGCCAAGGATTGTGGGAGCTGTACTTCAACAACACCTGGAGAGTCCCATGCTTGCTATCCCTGAGTTAAATCACTGGTCCATCCAGCCCAACTCTGCCTACTATAACCAGCAGAGCCCTGGTGGGATCCTAAAAACACACACAAACCTGGGTTCATCTGCATGCATAGCCTGTGCTCTCCTCCTGAGCTCTAGATAATGCTACAGGCAGAGATATGTGCGTAGCCAAGGGGGGATGGGGGGCAGAAAAGCATTGAAAGTACTTAGTTGATTGAGGTTCCTGGCTACACCCATGGGCAGAGAGCACATTTGTCTCTAGAGTCAGCATTTCCTGGCTGTCTCTCGGATTTCCTCTGAATGGTTACAAATTCTGGGTTTCTCCCATTCTTTTGAGTAGATTTGATGTTTTATATATTCTGCTTGTCCTGCAGCAGATGCATTTATTCGGTTGATCACAGCTACAGCCTGTAGAAGTGTGTATTCCAGCACCAATACAGGGCACAGTATTTCTCTTCTCCACTAGATGGAGGCAACATGAGCTCCCTCCCTCCCCCTACAAAAAATAAAAATTAATGTATGTACACGGGATGGAAATGCAAAACTCTGCAGTGTGATCTAGCAGCAGCTACAAGTATGGTAATAACTAATCCAAATACTAAGGAAGCAAATCCATTGATTCTGAGGATGGAATCATACATATTCCTGCCACACACCCCCGGCCATCCTGCAAAGTGAGTTGTACTTCTCATGGGGGAGAATTAATTTGTGGGTTGTGATAAACGTCAGGCCTGCTTTGGGATTAAAAGTAAAAAAAAAAAAAAAAATTCAGAGAGCAGCTGTATAGGTTTAAAAGGGCAGCATCTTTAACTGCATCTCAATCAAACTGATTGATTGAATCCAGACTTACAATGCACTCCTGATTCCACTTACCTGGGTAAGCCTCACTGAACTCAGTGGGATTTACCGGTACTTCTGAGAAGACATGGTTAGAAGGGCCCTGGTAGTCATTAAGGGCTCCTCCACACTTCCACTTGTCTTGTGCCTGGAAAATAGGTCCAAGTGGCTATTCCTTTGCCCCACTGCTTTCCCCTGGAAAACCTGCTCTTTACTGCTGAATTGGAACAAATGGCAACTCAACGAAAACCTGATTGCTGTTTGGTTCCATTTACCAGTAAACCACAGGTTTCTCCAGGGGAAAGTGGCAGGGCAAATGGAGGTGTGGATGAGCCCAGAGTCTGGATCTAATACTATGTACTTTTGTGTTGTACTGTGGTCATAATATCCATGTGCTGATTTACTGAGTTGTTACAGTCTCTGTTGAAGGGGTAACTTAGTCTGCCTTCCTTATGTACACAAATAACTGTCTCTGGCTAACCTTGACTGACCTGCCAGGGATGCATTCGTCTCTTGATCTTGGCAGCAAACTGATACAAGATAGTCACACCCCACAGGGCTAAGAGGGAGATGCTCACCTGCTTTGACACTAGTAAGAGGTAGAGTGTACTGTCCCACAAAGTCATTCCGAGATGCCTTGTCATAATCCTCCACCACAAAGCGCAGAAGTGCCAGCTCTGGTACCCGAACCTGGAACTGAAAGGCCTCATTCCATTGTGGGTTAAAACCTATCCAGGGATATTAAAGTGAAAAGAGGGTGTTGTCACAGCACATAACCTGTATGTGTCCCCCAGCCTCTGTCCATCTTCACCTCCATAAAATCTCACACAACTTCCCTCTGCATTGCTGCTTCTGAGATTCCTAAACTGCTCTGGTCTAACCTCAAAAACACCTGCCCTCTTTGCATCACTTTTCTACTACTCTGAATGGTCCAACTGGGCTTTTAGCATTTTCAATGCCCCAGGAAAAGAGAGAGAAGATGCCTTTAAGTGGGAAACCAATGTCCCCACTGTGGAAGGATGTGTGGGTCCAGAATTGGCCTCCACAGTCACTTACGGACTCATTGTTAAAACTGTGTTTATGGAAGACAATCTTACTCGGCTACGAGTGGTCGCCAAAGAAGAAGGAAGAAGATATGCATATACTATTGTGGGACCTTGGTGGAGAATTTACCTTTTTTGCAAAGTTCAACTTCCTTTTCAAAATGACTATGCAAATTTCTACCCTACCTGGGTGCGAAGGAAAATAGGAAAATGTAATGGAGAATGGACACATGTTAGTCATGAGGTGAAGCTTCACTTATGTCAATGGGACAAATCGGCTGCAACTCATTTTGTTTAATTTTAATGTATTTATGGGCTGCTCTTTAGGTAAGACATTTCAAACTGGCTAAAATAATAAATACAATACATAAGAACAGCATAAGAACATCAGCACATACCAATCCACTGTTTTCAAAGAGGCTTAGTCATACAACTCACATTTGCTGGATTGTGCCCAGTGTAGTAGGCCACAGACATGGAAACCCAAGGCTTCCAAAGGTGGCTCATATGCCCTACACATGAGTTATTTGCTTCTTTGGGGCTCCAAGTCCCCCTAATAAATCCTTCCCCTGTTACCTGTTTCCACCTCTGCTGCTTCCTTGTACTTTACCACCACAGTTCTTACCAAAAACAAAAACATCACAATTTAAAACCATGCCTGACATGCCTAGTATTTTAAGGACATTCATTCCTATGGAAGAATTTGGTTTTTTAAAATGTAGAATCTGAGTTCCCTTGGCACAGATAACACCAGGATATTCATTCATTCATCCTTAAGTAAATAAGAATGAGGGGCATCCATGTTGACACATGCATGAGGTCCACATAAAACCCCATCTCAGCAGTTCTTTACAATGACCAAGAGAATTGCCTCACCGTTATCATCAATATATTTGGTCTCCTGCTTGGCACTATCAGCAGGGATCCCATGAATCTCCACTCGCACTAGTGGATCGATGATGGAGCCTTCTTTGCTGTTGGGCATCTTGGGGAGTTGCTGCCCACTAATGATCTGGAAGAGAAGCTTATGGTGAGCATAGAAGAGCAGTCAAGTCCATATGTGCAAACAGCAATGTGTCAGCAGCTGCACCCTGCAACTCACGCAGCTCAAAACAGTGACAAAAGAAGTTGGTCACTTTGGCATATAAGCCCAAAGATACAAAGGACTTGGAACAACACTCTGCCTGCTTGATACAGTGGTACCTTGGTTTTCGAATGTAATCTGCTCCAGAAGACCGTTCGAGTTCTGAAACGTTCAAAAACCGAAAACTCAAAACGGAAGCCTCAAAATGGAAAACTCAATTGGGAAAACTCAAAACGGAAGCTGTGTGGCATGTTCGACTTCCAAAAAGTGCTCAAAAACCGAAGCATTTACTTCTGGGTTTACGACGTTTGAAAACCAAAACGTTCATCAAGGAGACGTTCGAAAACCGAGGTACCACTTTATCCCAAACTCAGCTTTTCCAACAGAAGTTGATCTTTGACTCAACCAGGTATAGGGAAACTTTGGCCCTCCAGATATGGCTGACCTACAACCTCATCAGCCCCAGAAGCATGACCAGTGGCCATGTTAGTTCAGCAACACGAGAGTCAAATATTCCCCACATCTGCAGTAGGATAGTAGCACTGAGTAGCTATTAAAAGATAGCAGGGTAGATAAAGCCTCTCTCTAGGTCGGACAGAGATTTTCCAAGATGGGGGCCACATTCTCTCATGGACATCTGGAAGCTTCTTATTCCAATAAGCTTTTCTCTAAAATCCTAAAAGCCCTATTAGGTTAAGGTATGGGCAACAAACTCACACAGTACCTTAATGGCTATGTTCAGGGGGCTACCATTCTCCCTGCTTTGGGGGTTCTCAGGACTGAAGGCTGTCTCTGGGTCTTTCATGAAGCTCGGCTTTAACACGTAGCCACAGCGGCCATTTTTACTGAAGAGCCCATCGCACAAGTCCATCTCTGTACCAGCCGTTTGAAAATTCAAGGCCACTGGGGGGAGGAGGAGGAGGAGGAGACAGGAATCTTTCAGACCAGCAGCAATTGGAGGCAAACAAGAGAGCAGTCTTCTAGCTCTTGCTAGCTTCTTCCATGCAAGGCATCTTAGAAATACAAATTAAAGCCCAAACTGCACACTGTGGAGAGAGGGCCATCAACCCACATCTCCCTAATAATGGGGGGGGGGAAACATGACATATCATTGTCTTAGTGTTTCCCTCCCTACACCCACCTTCACTGGCTGCTGCTTATCCCATTTCTGGATCTCTATCTTCCCTCAGTTCCTGCCTTTCGAATCTGCATTTGCAAGCTTGAAGAAAGCCGAGGAAACCAACATTCAGAAGAGTTGGGGGAAAACCCTTCCCCCATATAAGAACAGCCATGCTGTAAAGCCCAGTTTTGACCGCTAAGGCTTGGCAATAGCAGAACAAATAACAACTATTTATATAAAGCACCACTTTGAACACTCTGAAGCACACTGCATATTTATTTTACATCTTGCCTTTCTGCCATCATAGAACCCAGTGTGGCATACATATGTCTCACAGACAGTCACCCCCAGACCTGCAATGTCGTAACCTTATGTGCCTTCAGATGCTGGGATCAGGTTTACTTACTTACAATATCCAAGGGTGGAACAGCTTGCTACTTCAGCAAAGTTTGCTGAGACACAAATGAGGAGGGGATTTCCAGGAGAGGATCAGTGTAGTAGGAGTAGTTAACCCTTCCCTAGATTGCCATCTTGCCAAAAATACTCCTTGGCATATGACAACTTGTCCCCCTCCCAGAAAGCAGGATTCTGAGGCTAGGCAAATGAAGGGGAGACAGCATTTGTGGGAATAAGTGAATAAATAGAGCCTTGCTGGCTCAAACCAAAGGCCTGTTTAGTCAGCCTCCTGTTTCCCACAATGGTCAATCAGATGTGCAAGTGTGTGCTCTCTGTCTCTCTGTGTCTGTGTCTGCGTCTCCCTCTCATTCCCCAGTGACTGCTAGTCAGAGGAAAGCTGCTGCTGATTCTCAGGTAGCAGTCAGACATTATGACTCATAGCCATCAGTAGCCTTATCCCCCAGCAGTTTGTCTAATCTCCCTTTTAAAAGCCATCTAAAGCCCCATCTGCACTTAAAGCAGTATCGCGCCACTTTAGTCCTGGCTTCCTCCACACACACACACAATCCTGCACTCTGTTCAAGGTGCCAAGAGATGCTAGGAGACTCTATTCCGCTCACAATCCCCAAAGTTCCGGGGGAAGAGGCTCTGATGGCTAGACCACTCTGGGAGCTGCAGCTCTGGAAAAAAACAACACAAGGGTGACTTCCTCACCCACCCACCCCTTAAATCCTTCTGGGGCTGGCATACCCAGCTGGCACCCCACATTCCACATCGCCTGGGGGTTGTAATTGGAGGAGTCCGTCCGCAGACCGCTGGGGAAGATGCGTGTCAGCTGCCAGGCATTATGGCGGATGAAGTCATTTCCTGCAGGAGGTAGTGAGCACACCAAAAGTTTAGAAATCTGGTATTTGGGGAACCCCCTCTCCAGTTATTAGTGCTTGGAGAATGTGACCCTCTGCAACTAAGTGATGTGTGTGTCAGAGAAACAGTTTGCATCCAGTTTACCTAAAATGTAGACAGAGAACATGGAATTTCTAGCTGGTTAGTTGAAATTAGGGTGCGCACCCCACCCCAATGTGTGTGTAGGTCTTCACAAACTGCTTTCTGGGAATTTGATGCAGAATTAGAGTGGCTTTGCTGCCTGCTTACAAGAGGTTGTTTGCTTCCACTATGCTGTGCTGGTATGTTCTCTGACCCAAAGGAAACTGAATCAGGGAGGGCTGCCTCTGACTTTCTGACTGCTTGGCAATATGGGGCAAAACATTAACATCTTAGTGTATGTTGGGGAGGAGTCAGAGGAGTCACGGGCCCGCCAATGCACGTTCCTAATGTCTTGCCTGCTGGCTGCCTCCATCCCCGGTTTCTCACCAGCCTCTCGGATGAGCTTGCGGGCCTTGGATTCAGCAAAGGAGGACATCTCGTAAGACTTGTAGTGGCTGCGGGAGTGCTGGAAGCTGTGAAAGGGCACGCTCTTGCAGTAGACAATGCAGTCAGAAAGCTCCTGGGAGAGGGACTGTTTGGCCTTCTGCAAAGAACGTGAGACCAACTTGTAAATGATGACCATGTGTACTGCAGACACGGGAGTAAGATTGAGTCCCACACCTGCTAAAAATAGAATCAAAATATCAGGCTTTGTGGGGGGAAGGCTCTTTTTGCCATTTGAAACTGGTGAGGGGCAGGTAGAGTTTTTGCCCTGGGAACTTTACCTGTCTCTTGTTAGGAGGAGTCATATCTTAGCAGGGAGCCTATGTGCTTTGCATCCCTGGCATTTCCAATTTTTAAAAAGACTAATTTAAAACCCTGCCTGGGAGCTTGGAGAGAGCTGCTAGTCAGAACCCAACGGACCAGTGGTTTGACTCACATGCAAAGGCAGCTTCACATATTCCTGCGATAGGAGAAGAGCCCCCTTTTGCTCCTGAGAAAGAGCCACCAACTCCAAATGATTCAAAGGCTGTAGTGCAGTGTAAGAAAGTTTGCCTTCTCTCCACATCAGGGTTTCCGGGTTTCCCAGTAGAATCAATGTAGCTCACATTCTATCAAAAACTAACCTGTATGTGTGTATTGTCGTCAGTCACTCCTGCTTTTGCGGGCAGGTACCTCCCACCTGTCGGTATCTGGCAGGTGAGGTTCAAGTGCATATTGCTCTACCACACTAGTGCAACAATTTTTTAAAGCAAACAAACCCCGGACTTTTAGCAGTTGGGTAAATGATGGGGAAATGCATTGAAATTGAGGGATGAGCAAACGATTAATGGGAAGACGTATCAACACTTGGCTGGCAAATTGTTGCATAACCTCCCCACAAACACATTATAATGAATGCTCATAAAGACTGGACGTACCTTAACTGCTATGTGAACTTTGTGCAGGCAACTCCAGGATGGATCCTCAAAACATAGCTGCCACTATCTCTAAAGAGCCAACTAACCAGGGTTTCCATGTACCTTCTCTTTCTTCTTGTCTTCATTGCGCAGGACTTCTTCCTCTGCCTCTGGTCCCTCTTCCTCCTCCTCCTCCTCTTCCCGCTCAGGCGGCTCATCCAGATGCCCATTCAAATAATCCTCCAGGTGTCCAATCTTCTTCCCTTTCAGGATGATCTTGCCCTTCAGTTCCTGCATGAGGACACAGGGTGGGTCATATCAGGGCAGACATGATGGTGCTTTGAGTTCAGGCGATGGGGAAGGGCCTCTAGCAACACCAGCTCAGCCAGGCTGTCCTGTAAAACTCTGCCTTGCTCCACAAGTATGACAGCCTCTTAAATATGCTCACAGCAAACATCCTGCTCAATTAAAGGTCCCCCGATGTCCTTTTACTCAATCTTTCACCATGATTTTAACAAAGTGTCCCCAATACTTCTCCCTCCAATACCTCTGTTCCTCCAATGCTCGTTTCTGCCTTTAATTCTCTTCTTGAAGTTCCCTTTAGTGGTTCTGACAAAAAATGCTTTAATTCCCACAATAGCTCCTTTGGAACCCCCTTCATCTGCCTTAACCTTCACCCCTCACCTCTGGCTCCTCCCCTTCCTATGGCCACCATTTTAATACATCAAACTAATACGTAAAAGAATTTGGGTCACCTGAGTGTTAAAATAACAGTCCTAGGATTGCAGTCAAGCTCTGTAAGACCAGGTTAAGGAAAGACAATTGACAACACCATGTCCCCACCTCTGGTGAAGGCAACTGCACTGGGACGCGTCCATCAATGGTGGTGGTGAGGAGCTGCTCTCCCAGAATCCCCTTCAGCTGCTGGGCCATGATGTCCTGCTGCTCTATGCTGCAGTGATTCTCAAGAGACAGGATAATGGGGTATTTAGAAGCCTGGGAGAATGGAGACATAAGAAGTTAGAGGCAGTAATAGCCCTAAAGTGTGGGAGGTTGAAGGTGGAGTTTGATGACATAATGAGGGGAATGGAACTGTTTGAGGGATAGCGAGCCACCTTTAGGATTCCTGGAGACCAGACAAGTAGGATAGAGGGAAATGAAGCCACTGCTGGGATGTGGCAAAACTATGGAACCACAGCCATTTGAAACAACAAGAAGGAAAGATGGTGTGCCCTATTTAAATCTAACAAAGGGAGGGGTTTGGGGACAACTGGAACTAAAATTAGGCTCTCACAACTTTGATGTGCTGTCTGGAGGATGGGGGAATTTGATCAAAAGTGACACCTTGAATTTGGCTGGATAACAAATTAGCAGCCTTCACAATTCCACCCTACTGACCCCATCCCTTGTGGCAGAAAAGTCCAACCTACCCGGAAGGCATATTTATCGAGGGTTGTCACAACTTCCCGGAAAGGGATCTTAGAGGTAAAGGTATGGCCATGGTAGACAATGGGCTCCCCATTAGGTCCGTCCCAACAGTCCACCTCTAGGCACCGGCAGCCCCGCTTCAGAGCCCTGCAGAGGAAAAGAAGGCAATTCATGAGCCCTTCTTAGCCTCTTGGTCTGTGAGTAGCACCCTTTGCTGCTAGCTTGAAACATGGGGGTGGGGGAATCACTTTTTACAATGCCAAATCCTTTGATGTAAAAAGGCTCTCAGGTCATACTTTGCCTGTGCTTGCCTGAAACCAGCATTGGTTGCACCAGGCATCTCTCCACTTTGGGGGCATTCAAGCTCAGTGCTTGAATATTAAACTGGAGGGGATAAAGACCAAGGTAATATAAAAGGAGAGGTCTGAGTGGGTCCCTGATTTACAGGGTGAAAGCCCAGCTTCCTTCCAACTTCATCACTGAAAAGGTGCACGCAGCAGCAAATCAAAGAATATCAAATGCTGGGTCACCTACTAGTTTTCCCTTCTCACCAGGGTTCAGCTGGGGTAATATTTTTTTTTTAAGTGCTGCATGAATTTTCATGCATTTTATCCATTTATTAATCACCTTATTATTTCAAAATGGGCACTTCTGAAACTACAAAACTCCTCCAGGGATTGAAGGGTCTTGGCAACATTACAGGAATGGGTGGGGAAGCCAGTCAGCACTGGACACAGCTATATTCTACTTGAAACTTACAGAACCATTTTTCAGGGGAAATAATAAGTAGCATTTCCAGCTCAGCCCCTCCACTCTGTACACATTACATCTGTCTTCACTCCAAAGGCAGGAAGTAAACATTGTGGATAACATGAAAATGTGGGTACCTTTTTGTGAGCCCATAATTCACACTTTTCAAAAAATACACAAATTGAAACATAGTGCTTCTTTGACATTCACATTTTTCTGAATTTTGCAGTGCAGTTATCCAACCATGTAATGTGTACAATAGTGTAAAGTAAGCATAAAAACACATATGTTCATGAAAATAGCACACCAAGATGCATTATAGTAAGGAAAGTTGCTTTGCAAAAACCTAGGCAAAATTGCATACAAAATGTATATTGGAAGAAATCATCACTAAAATGCTGATAGATTTTCATGAAGACACTTAAAAAACAAACAAATGCAAACTGATGTGGAAATATGATGTGGAACTGAACTTAAAAAAGAGGAATTGGGAGAAATTGACAGATTCCTCCATCCTTAGATTTGCTGAACCAGAAAGTGAAGAAGAAAGTGGGAAGAGTAAAGCAGCTGTGGGAACATCTGGCCCTCCAGATGTTGCTGGACTATAACTCTCACCACCCCTGGACATTGGCTATACTTGCTGGGACTGATGGGAGTTATAGATCAGCAACATCTGGAGAGCCAAAAATTCTGCACACTTTGAGTAAAGCCAAGTGTGGCTGTTCTGCCCGCACAAGGGTCAGTTGTTTAGTGATAGCAAACCTGTGTATTGGTATTAGGTAGAAGGAATGACAATGCTGCCCCTTTAAGAAAATATAGTGGCTTTTAGTGGATTTTGACTTCTTGTAACCCTACCCTAGAAGGCCTGTGGTTTCCAACACAGAAGCAATGGTTCTGGAAACTGGGCTCCAGGCCTGGTTCTGGAAGGCCCAGAATTGAATCCATACCACCAGTGGCTGACATCTCTGGCATTCTGGTGCCTTTGTCATGTCATTACTTTACAGCGGAGGAACTGCACTCTCTGGCGCAATAAGTGAGGAATGTTTTTTGGGGGGAAGAGGTTGTAATGTTGAGGGAATCCAATCTATGGGAATCCAATCATCAGTGTGTGAAGCAATTCCAGTCAATGTTTTATAAAAAGCTGAGGAGATCTGGGGACTAGGCCTTGAGATGCAGATTTCTGGTAGGCTTTTCTCTTGCTTAACATGTATTTGAGTTTGCTCTATATCAAGTGGTTTGGTCACCAAGCTTTGTGTAAAGAGCACATCTTACAGAGGTCATAATGGTGAAAGGTATCTTGTGAGTGGCTTTGTTATGGGAGTGAGTCAACTGCCTTTCGATTGTGATTACCTGATATATCCCTCCACGCTGCTTTGTCCTCTCAGCTGGTCCTCCATCAGGTATGTGTTGTGGGAGGAGGAGATAAAGTAATGGCAGAGCGGCTGAGACATATCCTGAAAGACCGTCCTGTGCTCAGGGTTGAAGATGGAGCCATCGGGGGAGCAGAGGTACACGAGGAACCCATCAATGCTCAGGATGTGGCGAGCCTTGGCTGTGGGAAGAGAGAGCCAGTTGGAGAGAGAACAATACTGAGGAGGAATTAGCCTCTGAAAAAAACAAAAGACACTGAACTGGACAAAGCCCATGAAAGAGGAGCCTTTGTAGTGCTGGGGGAAAGCATCAGTTTCTATGGCAATTGGTGTCATGAAACTGATACAGGTGGTGATAAGTGCTTTGTGGAGATCTAGTGGGACAAGAGAGACACACAGATACCCTCTCCCCCTCAATGCCTGGGAGCTCCTATTCTGAGAGAGGATTTGGCACTATTCGAGGGCCAACCTGTGCTAACTGGGGGCACTTGTCCAGGTTGTGGGCCCGCCAGCTCTCCCCCCCTCCTCCACCCCCACCCCGCCAACCTGTCTCAGACGGCTCATATCTGTCAATCATCTCCATGGCGAGCTCATCAATGCCAGCCCCCTCCATCTGCTCCTGTTGCAAGAAGTCCACAAACTCCAACAGTGTCAGCTTTTTGCCATCCTCGGAGTACTCCTGGAACAACTCGAGCACCTCATCCCGCTGAGTCAGTGCTTTGTAGAAGAGCACAAACTCCTCCCCCTCCAGTGTACCTGTCTCTGATTTGTCGGCCATCTGCAAGGAATGGAAGGGTCTCTGACCAAGGGGGTCCTTTGTGCAGAAAGGAGAACATTGTGATAAAAGCAATGGGGCGAGGCAGAGCCAGCCAGTGTGAGGCCATCTAGATGGCTTGGACTACAACTCCAACCTGTCAGCTTGGCCAGTGGTTGAAGGATGGTGATGGGAGTTTGTAGTCTGCAACATCTGGAGGGTACCACATTGGCTACACAGGGCATACAGGATCAGAGGTTTACTCATTAAGACACTGCTGCTGCTACTACAGCACTAAATGTGCCCTAGCTGATGCACAGTACATCATAGCCATGTGGTCCTTGCCCAAGGAGCTTTAAACTACCATAAAATGACTATATGGAGGCAGGAGTAGTAAAGGGTCAGGGATTAAATGAAGAGTGTGGGTAGGATGGGGGGCAGCTTCTGGATCTGGGATGATCCACCACTGCTCTTGCCAGTGTCTATTGTCAGCCCCCATTGGGACCAACAACATAATAGAGAGACTTGGGGATGCCATGAGATGTCTCTGCATGTGACCTGCAGTGATTTCTGTACTATATCACTGAGTTTGACTAGACAACAGACAACACACAGAGATGGGCAAGGAGCCACAGCCAGGTGGATGATGCTTTGACGGAGAGATATAATGACACTGGACAACAGAATAGCCAGGTTTGGAGGCACAGCGTGTGAGCAAAGAAAAACAGAAGTGAATATATGTGCACTATGGTGTATCATGGGTGGAAATGAGGTGCTGTAGTCTTTTGAAGAGCAAGCTCAGGGATTTCCCTATGCAACCCAGTACTGTAACTTCCCCACCACAGCACCCAAATTTACTTGGAAGAGCCGGAAGGCATGGTCTTCATTCATAGCTACGTTCATCATCCTGAGCAAGTGCTGCACCTCCTTGAAATTCATACGTCCATCCTTGTCCTTATCAGCTTTCATGAACCAGTCACAGATCCATGTGCAGCCCAAGACATGGGTCAAGGAAAACAGTCTCATAGTGGCCGGGCAAAGCTAAGTCTTCAAAACTAGCCATAGCGTAAAAGTGTACTCTAGTGTTGCCCAGCCAAGATGCTTCGAGAAACAGCCCTAGAATTTGGCAACTATTAACAATTGCATCTTGTTGAAATGCACCAACACGGGTTTAATTTTCATAAGACTAAGCCCTTCATTCAAAATGTTACCTATTTATTGGCCAGTTCATTTATGTATTATTCTCCATTTAAAATCACAGAGTAGTTCACAGCAGAAATCAATAAAATACAACAACTGGCACCACCTTCCCCCGCCCATACATTCTATTCGGAATCTGTTATCTGCAGTTTTGCATGGCTTCAAGTAGTGCTTATAAAAAGAGGAAGAGCCAGAACCAAAGCAGACTGGAAGAATGGGCAGTTCAGGCAAGACATGGCTGGGTAGTAGTGAAGAAAGGTTGGTTCATTGCAGGGGGAGGGACGGTGTGACTGCAGAAGTAATGAATTGATAGGGAAGAACCACAGAAGAGATAGTGGAGACAGCTGAAGCTGAGAAAGAGATCTAAGTGTCAGCAATTGAACACAGGAAATTACCTTATCTCAGGTCAGACCTACTGGCCCTCTAGTTCAGGATCATTTACATGGGCTGACAGCAACTGTCCAGGATTTAAGGTAGGAGTATTTGCTAGCGCTACCTAGAGACACCAGAAATTGAACCCAGTATTTCTGTGTGCAAAGCTTGTGCTCTGCTACCAAGCTACAGTTGATATCAACCTCATATTTGATATGAATCCTGGGTAGTATCTCCAGCATTGGAGAACAAATACAAAGTTGAGCTCTTGAGGTTAGCTTTTACAGGCATGGAAATGGACAGTGAATAATTCAACATAAGGATATTGATCCATCTTCTCCTTCTGGTCCATGTTAGTGACAATCTCCACAAGGCGCCGCAGGCCTTGGATCCAGCACTGAGCTTCCTCCGCTGAGCTGGCAATTAGGTCTAGATTGTTACGGCGCCCGTGGAAGACGACCGTGAAGCAGCATTCGGCTGGGAACTCCTCCGCTAGACTTTGCAGAACCTCCGACTGGTGTCCCTCACGCACAGTCTCCACATCACTCACTGAGACTTGGGAGAGAGGGATAACCGCCAAGAAATATCAGCCTTCATGCAAAGATTAGAGCTTAAGGTACAAAATTAGACCCTTGCTTCTTAGGCTGGGCCCCACACGAAACAGCATCAGCATCATTACCTAGCATTTATCTATTCACATATTCAGCTTATTTAATCTGTCTGTCTATTCACCCAACTCTTTACTAGAGGTTCTATCCAAAGCAGCACTACGTGAAGATGCCATCAGCCCAAGGATTTCAGCTTGTGCAGTGGAACCCTCTCCACTTCTTCTGCCCCTGTGCATGCTCCTTAATACGTTCTAGGGGTTTTCCCCAACCCTCTGGAACTGATTTTGTGGGGTGCAGGACCCACATTGGGGGAGCAATGGGGTGTGTCCTGTTGCACAAGTGGAAATCCTAGCACTGATGAGATACGGTAATGGGCTTAACCGTCCAGGGGTCCTTTACCTTTACCTTAGTTGAACAACCCCATAAGAGCATAGAAATCTGCCTTATACTGAGTCAGATCATTGATCCATTTAGGCCTGTATTGCCTATATTGGCTCGCCAGGATTTCAGACGGGGTCTTTTCCCAGTCCAATTTAGAGATGCTGGGGATTGACCCTAGGATTTTCTGTGTCAAAGGCAGATTTTTCTGTCACTGAACTACAAGCCCTTCCTATCCTGTCTATCCCAAGCTACTGTGCTGTCACAGAGTTTTGACCTCCGCAGATCACAGGGGAAGAGATGAAAAAGCATTTTATTGGATCAATTAATGTTGGGACATAATGTACATCCAGCATAAACTGATGGCGGAAGACATCTCAAAGGCAGTTGTGGGCAAGATAGTTTCACCCAGTGGACCATTAGCCTGGAGAAGTTCCAGCAGCAGGGTGAGCATTCACAGAATCTCCAAGAGAAAATTAAACATCTCTGTGGATGACAGAACGAAAACATCCAGTACTAGAACAGATTATGCAATAGACAGAGGGAAGATGCACAACTTCCAGCACTCAAGATGACTCCAAATATAGTATATTCTCTTCCAGCCAAACATATTTTAGTGACCAAGGTGGAAAATCTAAATTGCATCACATGCATAAAAACTTCAATTAAATTAGCTGGCAATTTGATGTTCAATACCTGCTGCCTGAGGTCATCACCTCACTTATCTTTGTGACAGGATCAGTCCCGCTTCAAGTGTCACCATATATGAAAGTCAGCCTCAGTACACCATGCCCAGTGCTCTTTTAGTTTTTAGACAGGCACATCTAAAATACCTCTTGCAAGACATTCAGAACATAGCATGCACATATGCATAAGCAGATGCAGATGCACACAAACATTTCCCTTTGTAGTCCACATCGTGATGATCTGTTGCTGGATATCGGATGATGACAGGGACTTGCAAGTAAGTATTGGCAGCAGCTGGATGGAGAAGAAGTGTGTGCGCTTTTGTGTGTGTAGTTGAGGTAACCGTAAACTAATTGGTAGTTGTTGCAAGAATGAGCTCAAGTGTGTTTACATCCACTTGCTTTGATGTATACTAAGTGGCTTGCGTCGATGCTATGCTTATCTGTGAACCTTGGGACGCTGGGCTCTAGCCCCTGAGAGGGGAGAAGCCTTGGATAGCTGCCACCCATGGCCTCACTGGCCAGATGTGATGGGAGCTTCTGAGTAAACTGATGTATGCTGTTTTGTACATAAAGGATGTCTACATGTTTGCTTGGGTGTGGACAAGCCATTGCCTTGCTGCAGTGTCCATCCTACATCTGTAAAGGCTGGGAGACCTGGCAGGCTGATTTGCTGTAAGTCTACACCTTCTTTTAATAAAGCACCAGAACTGATAACTCTGGCGTTTTTTGACATCCTTCTTTGGTATCCCTGCAACCAACCACTCCCACAAGCTTTTCTTTCAGCTGGTGGATCAGGACAAGCAGTTCTTGCCAAGAGATTGAAGGTGGGCCTGAGGGTCAGATCCATTTGTATTGTTCCCAGAACATCCTGTTGGCACCCCGTGACATCAAGAGTCAGAATTTTAACACCCCAGTCTGAAATTCAATCTAAATTTGGCTCTAAATTAGCATTTATGTTATGGGCCTGTGTCCTTAATCTCTTAAATACCTGTTCCCCGGTGGAAGTCTGCTGCAGCCCAGCACTTTTTAAAAATCAAGCTAAGTAGTCTTTTGGCTTGGAATTGTGTGATTTTTGCATTCTGATCTCTTCCAATGACTGGTGTTGCCAGACTGTCATTAAACAGTTTCATGTGGGGGCTTCTGCAATCTGGACATGCTCCAACCCTTATGAAAGGATCCCCACATTGTGCTATATGCTTGCCTGAAAGTGCAAACTCAAAGACAAGGTGACATGGAAACCAGCCTTGCTAACCACCATTCAGAGCAGGGAGTGGAACTCACAGGCAGACTTGGCTTTGCCAGACATCTTGGATTTGTACCAGACAGTCATGCAGTCATCTTGCAGCATGAAGTACCGGGGTTTCTTCCAGTTCTTGGACTTCACCTTGCGCATCATTGTCCCCTGTTGCATCTGCTCCAGGTTCTCATCCAGCTGAAGGCCTGAGCAGGAGATTGAGGGGACTGCATTTCACATCAGGAAGCGAGTGAGGGCCACCGCCCACCCAGGATGGGGAACACAAGGAATATTTGTTTGTGTTTAAGCATACAGATAAGGAACAGAAACTGACCCTATTGAGATGGGATGTCAAATTCAAGATAGAAAGACCCAGCTACTGGAGGAAACATTATGCTCTGAATGAAACAGCCATTCCATAACATCCTTCTAAGCAGCCTACCCCAACCTGGTTCTCTTTGGTTGTTGTTGGACTACAACTCCCATCATCCCTGTCCATTGGAGATGGAGTCCAACAAGATCTGGAAGGCACCAGGTTGGGAAAGGCTGCTGTAGGGCAAACATATTGTTTCTACATTCAGATCTCCTTTTTGCTTCCAGCAACAGTAGTCACATCCTGCCAGGTCCCCTATATTTCTCCCTTGGACTTAGAGGGTGTTTGGGATGTATTATTACTAGAGCAGTCAAGTACAACATTTTCCTTTTGTCTAGAATGGACACACAGAGGGATGTGGCTCCAGACAGGGAGGACTTCCTGTCAAACCTGCCATGGAGCTTCCTCCCCCTGTGTGTGGCCAGGTAGATGGGCGTGAGTGACCCTAGCTGACCAGATAAAAGGGCTGGTCATGCAACCATCTCATTATTACCCTCTTACTCTTGCTGGCTCTTAGCCAGCACATGGCTTAACCCACATAGGATGGAGCCTACAAGCAGAAAGTCTAAGATGTAGCTCAGACTTCTTTTCACTGTAACCACAGGATACAGCCTGCCTTCACATTACTACCGTGAACTGAATGTGAGTAAAACTTTATTCTTACTTTTAATGAAGACTCTGTTGCGTTATTATTATTTTAAGAGGGAAATAAAGGGGAAACTTACCAGGAACAATCCAGACTGGATTGCTTAATTAAAGGATTCTAACGAATCATCAACTTGCTTCTGATAGGTCGCAAAAGGAATGTTGCTCTGCTGTTTACTCACTAGCGTGAGTGAGGAGGGATAATATCAAAACAATATATTCTCTCCTACCTTACTTAACATTCCCACAGGGAGAGGATGAGCAAGTGAACAAGCACCACTGATGGCTGCAACGGCTGTCACTCGGGAAAGATCTGCAGATGGCATTTTGCCGAAGGCCACCCAAAACCTGGAGGTAGCAATCTAGAGGTTCCCTGGAGACTCAAGAGAATACTCACGGACACTGTAGAGAACTGAAGTCATGGTCCTTCTTCCCGTGGGTTGGCACAACAATCACCTAGAACACAGGTGAGTCAATTGGTTTCAGAATTGCCATATCCCGTAATTTGACCTAGCACTTTCTGAAGACTCAGTATCTGATTTATTTTCTGATGTTTTGCATAAGCAACTCTAGTCCCACAATCATACAGAAGTGCCTTTTTATCCTTAATCGCCTTATCAGTCCTTTGATAGAAGTCACAAAAATATCTTAAGGTCAAGAAATTATATCTGGTAAAAAAAAGGGGGGGGGGTTATTTGTTGCTGCTGCTGGGATTTATTTCCACAACCTCTTAGCATTACCATTAGCAGTGATAAAAATATATATTCTCTCTTCATAGCACTTCAGGAAAATATCAGAATAAGCACCCTCATTTTGATGCAGTTTTCTCTCAGACATGGAGCCGCTGTGTACTTATCTGTGTGGTTCCACATATGTTTTCATACTTGCAATGATGTATCTTTTAGAAAATTTCCATTAAATTTCATGGTATATCCTGGTTGATCCGTCTTAATGCTCAATGCAATACAAAAAAATCTGGGATAATGATTTATTAGGTCTGTCCACTAAGACTTGTTCTAACTGGGTCAGTGATCAAAGGTTTCTTTACTTTGCTAACCCATTAATACAAAAAGTGCCTGGTTTCAAAATACTGGGAGAGGGAGAGAGAGTGACAGGCCAAAGCACCACCAGTGACCAGTCAGATGCCTATATTGGAAGCCCACAAGCAGGAACTTCCCCTCCACCCACCAAGTTTTTATTAGGACTGCAGCACACAAAGAGAGAAGGTTTAACCTTTTCCTCCACAGCTATAATTTTAATTAAAATAGCCCCCAACCACAGCAATTAGCTTTTTTTGGGGGGGGAGGGAGGAATTTGCTCCAGCGGGCAACCTCTGTCTGGATCTCAGCTGGGAAACAAAACCAGCTCTCTTTCAATGCAGAAAACCTTCCCAACCCTATCAGATACAGAGATTTTTACTGGCCACTAGATGAATGGCCTGCTTTAACATCTGTCGTTTTAAAAATGGGCAGCACATTTACCTATTTAACCCCCTTCAAACTCCAAAGCAATTTAGAGAAGGAGAAGGCTATTTTTTTTACAAAGGCTTTCTTTTTTGCAAATTCCAAACAGGTGGCTATGCTAGTCTGAGTGCAGCAAAATAAGAGTCTTGCGGCAGCTTAAAGACTAACACATTTATAATGGCATCAGCTCTTGTGGACCACAGTCTACTTCCATCACATGCATCCATGAAAACTCATGCCATAAGTTTTCTTCTTTCTTTCTTTCTTTCTTTCTTTCTTTCTTTCTTTCTTTCTTTCTTTCTTTCTTTCTTTCTTTCCTCTCTCTGTCTCTGTCTCTGTCTCTGTCTCAAAAAATGCACTTCTCAGTCCCCCAAGCGACAGAATGTTCCAGGACAGTCTTTCATGGGGTCTGTTTCCTTGTGAGGAGTGAATAACTGGCAAACATGCAAGGAATACTAATTCCCAGAACAGCACCAGTCCACCAAAGCAACAGCATCTGCCCAAAATTACTCCATAACAGCCAGTGGCAAAATCCTTTTTCTCTTGCTAAATACAAAGCTGAAAAATTGTTTTTTATCAGAGCAAAACATAACCCAAATCCCTGTAGCTGGAAGTAGTCACCAGCCATCAAGGGCCATTGAAGTAAGTTCTTTCCGCCATCAAACACTACAACAGCTAGAGTGGAAAAAACCACCAGTTATGCATATGTAAAGAGTTCATTTGAGAAGCTGAAAGGTACTTCAAACAAAGGATAGTGTAGAGCACGGGTGTCAAACACAAGGCCCGCGGGCCGAATCCGGCCCGCCAGACCTCATCATGTGGCCCGTGTAGCCGCCGCTGGCCGCCAGCCTTCACCTTTTATTCTCGCTTTTTTTTTGGACACAAGAAAGCCGCCTCTTCAGCGCATGTGCGGCAGCCTACAAGCCAGAGAACGTCTGCCCTCTAGCGGCGCCGGCCGTTCTACACGGGAAACCTCCACTTTACATGCATTCAGGAAACCTCCACTTGTTTTTATATTGAGCGCATGCCATCCTGTGATGTGACAGATCCAACGGCTGCCTGAACCCTTCTCTCCTGTACTGTAAGTACATATGATGTATAGTCCTACAGATACAACCAGCCCTTTGAGGTTGACCAAACTGCTGATGCGGCCCCCTGATGAATTTGAGTTTGACACCCCTGGTCTAGAGCATTTGAGCAATCTTAACAGTTGCCTGGGATGTAGGGAAGGAGATGATCCAAGGAATACATGAAAGCAAATTTTCCATTAAAACAGTGATCTGGGAAAACCAAATGCTTTACCCTGGAGTTGGGGGTGGAAAGAAAATAAAATTCTTCAGCTGCTGAATACATAACAGAGAGCAATGGGGAAGGATCTCAATCATGGCAGAAAGCTCTGGTTATTTGCTTTTCCTATATAATTTGGCAAAGTGCATGTCCAATCATTCCAATAATGTACCACTTCATTAAATTAGACTGAGGAACAGGCTTCCTGCAGTGTCTTTCATTAAGGTAATCAAAGAACTGCAGCATCAAAAATACTAGCTGTGTTAGTTTGGTAGAGCACAAACAGCAAAGTGTTTTGTGGCTCCTTCAAGGCCAACACATTTACTAGCTTTTGTGCACCAAAGTCTGCTTTTGTCAGAAGCCTGAAGGGTAATCCTGAGACGTAAGACCACCCTGTGACCTCTGGAACTGGCCTGAGACCTCTAGGTATAGGGCGGTATATAAATTCAATAAATCATCATCATCATCATCATCATCCTGAATTAGCAAGCGTACTCTGGGACAAAGAGATGTACAGAAGTGAAATGCAAAAAGAAAAGGCAGTAATGTTTACCTGAAAGCAAGATCGTTGCAGTGTCCAATTAACAAGGCAGTACTGGTAGTAAGACTAATGTTTAGTCATTGATAAGCTAATGAATCCGTGTAGTGTGATGTCAAAACAAAATCAAGCCTACAATCTGGATTCAAGCCGCACATGGCTTGAATTAATTGCCTGATAAATTGTAATTCAGCAGTTTCCTGGCAGAATTTTGTTTTGAAGTCCATATTCAAACTTCATCCCAGCTTGATGCCGCTTTTGCTTATTATTGGCATTTCAGGAAAGGATGAGAAGTGGGCGGGGACTGCGTCTCTGGAAATAAATTTGACCCTTGGTGGTGACCCCTCTTTAAATGCTGAACCTTTCTCCTCCTAATGTACCTAGGAGGAGGTTTTTTTGTATCCTCTCAAAAATGGGCTCTTAGGCAAACAAGGTGCACTGGGGGATCAAAATGATGGGTGTGCGTTTAATGGAACGAAGCAGCCGACTTCTGGGAAGAAGTAAAAGTCTGTAGAACATGCAGTCCTTTCCCCTGCATGACGGCGAAAGGCAAGTGAAATGCTTTGCCATGAGAAATCATCATCTCCATGCACAAGCTCATTCTTTCCCATTGCAAAGCCAATCTGTCTTCCCCAAGGAGATGGCTATCCAGAGAGAAAGGACAGAAAAGGATACGAACCTTGAAGAAAGCCCCTGAACATGCGATCTTTGTGCTATGTGACAGCTGTGAGCTGACGCTGACCTTGAAACAGCTCAAGCAACAAATTATAGACCACGTCAGGAATTGCAAGTAGCACCCTAGGAGCACACTGGCCGACAAAAGTAGGTTAAATTAATGTTAGTTTCTCTTGTTATTTTCCCATGCCTTGTCCAAGGTGCTTTGTAATCATTACTCTTAATAATTTACATAACACTTTTCATGTACAAAAGTGTGCCACAGTTTTTTTAATTTATTGGTTCTCTCCTCCCCCAGTAATTTGAACCTGATAATAATGATAATAAGAGGTATTATCTGAAAGAGCATCCCACCTATTGACTGGGACCAGTGCTACACACACACACACACACACACACACACACACACACACACAGTGGTACCTCAGGTCAAGTACTTAATTCGTTCCAGAGGTCCGTACTTAACCTGAAATTGTTCTTAACCTGAAGCACCACTTTAGCTAATGGGGCCTCCTGCTGCTGCTGTGCCGCCGGAGCCCGATTTCGGTTCTCATCCTGAAGCAAAGTTCTTAACCTGAAGCACTATTTCTGGGTTAGCGGAGTCTGTAACCTGAAGAGTATGTAACCTGAGGTACCACTGTGTATATATGTGTGTGTATATATATATATGTGTGTGTGTATATATATGTATGTGTGTGTGTGTGTGTATATATATACATATACACACACACACCGTATTTTTCGCCCTATTGGACGCACTTTTTCCCCTCCAAAAATGAAGGGGAAATGTGTGTGCGTCCTATGGGGCGAATGCAGGCTTTCGCTGAAGCCTGGAGAGCGAGAGGGGTTGGTGCACACCGACCCCTCTTGCTCTCCAGGCTTCAGGAAGCTATCCGCAAGCCTTGCGAGCCCGCTGGGAGTTCCCGCGGGCTCGCAAGGCTTGCGGGCAGCAGCCTGCAGCCCACAAGCTCGGGGACAGCGGGGAGGCACAGTGCCGCCATTCCGCTGTTCCGTGACCTGGTTTGGATTCCCCGACCTGGTTTTGGGGGGGAAATAAAGGGGGGGGGGAATTCCTTTATTTCCCCCCCAAAAAACTAGGTGCGTTCTATGGGCTGGTGCACCCTATGGGACGAAAAATACGGCATATATATATATATATATATATATATATGCTTTCGTAGATTTTCACGGGTACAGGAATGCAGGTTTTGGTGTCTTCGGGTGTCTTCCCGTGTAAAAGTTGGGGTGTCTAGGCGAAAGCACCAGCCTGAAGAGACGAGTGAGACCTCGTCGAAACGTCGCCTAGACACCCCAACTTTTACACGGGAAGACACCCGAAGACACCAAAACCTGCATATATATATATATATATATATATATATATATATTTGCTTTCGTAGATTTTCACGGGTACAGGAATGCAGGTTTTGGTGTCTTCGGGTGTCTTCCCGTGTAAAAGTTGGGGTGTCTAGGCGACGTTTCGACGAGGTCTC